GCAGATTGCTGGGGGTTTGGAGATCTCACCCAGGGCAGCTGTGGTGGAGGGTTAGGGGGGTGTAGCAATCAAGAACACAAAGGCTTATTTTCCTCTGATTTCATCATCTATAATTACGCGAGCAAAGGTCTCTCTCTGCCTGACGACGGGGCTTAGAATCAGCACATGGCAAATGGTTCTGCAGGGCAGCCACTTACAGAGCACTTACCAAGTGCTGCACATTTCAATCTCACTTCCTCCTCAGGGCAGCCCTAGAAGGTAGGTACTGTCACTGACCCGAGGCTTAGAAAGGATTTTAAAAGTTGCCCAAAGGTATGCTGCTAGTAAGAGCCACAGGTGAGATTCAAATAGGAGCATTTCATACTCCAGAGACAGTACTCTGACCCACTCTTCATTCATTCAATAAACAGACTTAATATATACTCAACAAATATATATATACAAAAGAGTATATATACAAATATACTCACTGCTGCAAAAACAGCCAGGGACAATATGTAAATGAATGGGCATGTTCCAACAAACTTACTAATGAGCACTGAACTTGGGATTTCATATAATTTTCATGTGGTAGAAAATGTTATTCTTCTTTTGACTTTTTTCCCACCATTTAGAAATGTAAAAACCATTCTCAGCTTGCAAGTCACACAAAAACGTGTGTCGGTGCAGATTTGGCCCATGGGCTGTAGCTTGCCAACTTCTGGGAGAGGGAGTGCCTGGGGCGTGTATGGGGGAAGCACTTTAGACAGAATGGTCAAGGCCGGCCCACTGAGGAGACAATACTGGAGCCAAGACCTGAGTGAGGCCAAGCAGTGAGCCCTGAGCTCCTGGCAAAGGGAACCACAGTGCAAAGGCCTGGCCATGTGACTGGGGAGAAAGGGCGAGGCACAGGGGCAGGCAAGGGATCACGGAGGTCAGCAGAAGCCAGGCCATGTGGGCTCCTGGTGAGAACTCTGGTCTAAATGTGACAGCAAGCCACTAGGATCTGGCATTTAGTAACTTTGTGACTTTAGGCAAGTTATTGAACCTCTCTATGCCTCGTTTTGTCATCAAAATATTTATAATAACAGCACCTGTCTCAGAGGGTGTTGTAAGACTATGTGAGCACAATGCTCTAAGTGAACGTCAGCGGCCAGGATCAATGCTAACATTAACAGTGGAGTCCAGCTGCATGAGGCAGGAGCAGGAAGGAGTGGTGGCGACTTTCGGCCAACTCACCCACGATGTCCACCACGTCTGGCCGGATGAGCGGCTCTCCGCCCGTGAGCCGGATCTTGCTGACACCTTCTTTCACAAAGAGCCGGGCAAGGGTCAAGATCTCCTCGGTAGTCAGCAGGTCAGCCTTGGGAGTCAGAGGGACACCATCCTCGGGCATGCAGTACTGGCCTGAGGGGAGGAAGGGACCTGGAG